ATTCTCATCGCTAGGTGACGACTCCACTGTTTAACTATATTTTTTGATAACATACTGCATTTTTAGTTTTCTTTCTTCACACATCAGCACATAGTATTTTTGTTCATTCTTTCTCCCATTACTCCTCGTACAATAGCATTCTATATTTTCTCACAAAGACACTCAATACACTAAATCTCAACAACAATCATATTGGGGACACAGAAGTACAACATCTGACTGATGCCTTACGAAATAACACGGTAACTCTCACACTTTATTTATCTCTTGGAAATCTCTATCTGTACCATTTCAAACAGACACTCACCAAACTCCATCTCGGAGGCAATCAAATCAGAGTCCTCGGAGCACGAGATCTGGCTGATGTATTACGAAATAATATGGTGATGCTCATCTTCTTGTCACATCTCTAATATCCTAATCTACATTTTTTCACACAGACACTCGTCACAATAGATCTCAGAGGCAATCAAATCGGAGTTCTCGGAGCACAACATCTGGCTGATGCATTACGATATAACACAGTAACCCTCATTCCCTCTTAATCTCTCTCACATTTTTATTTGTACTTTTTCACACAGACACTCACCACACTAGACCTCAGCGGCAATCAAATCAAAAACAAAGGAGCCCAACATCTGGCGGATGCATTACTACATAACACAGTGACCATCGTTTTCTCTTCATCTCTCTCATATCTCGATCTGCACTTTTTCACAAAGACACTCAACACATTAGACCTCTCCTTCAATCAAATCCAAAACAAAGGAGCGCACCATTTGGGTCATGCGTTACTAAGCAACACGGTGGCCGTCATTCTCTCTTCATCTCTCTCATATCGTCATCCAAACTTTTTCACACAGACACTCATCACACTACATCTTGAATGTAATCAAATTGGAGACGAAGGAGCACAACATCTAGTTGATGTAATAAGAAATAACATGGTGACCCTCATTTAGTGCCTATCTCTCTCATATCTCAATCTGAACTTTTTCACACAGACACTCACTTCACTAAATCTCGGAGGCAATGAAATCGGAAACAAAGCAGCGCAACATCTGACTTATGCATTAAGAAAGAACACCGTGATCCTCATTCTCTCTTCATCTCTCTCATATCCTCATCTGCACTTTTTCACACAGACACTCATTACATTCTATTTCGCCCAAAACCAAATTGGCAGCGAAGGAGCGCAACATCTGGCTAAATTCTTACGAAATAATACGGTCATCTTCATCATGTCTTCACCTCTATCATATCCTCATGTACACTCTTTCATATAGACACTCACCACACTATATCTCCACAACAATGAGATCAGAGACAAAGGAGCACAACGTCTGGCTGATGCATTGCGAAATAACATGGTGGCCCTAATTTTGTATTCGCCTCTCTCATATTCCCATCTGCACTTTTTCGCACAGACACTCACCACATTAGATCTCTGCTCCAATGAAATCGGAAACAAAGGAGCAGAACAACTGGCACACGTACTACAAAACAACACGGTGATGCTCATTCTGTATGAATCTTTCTCATATTCCCATGTGCACTTTTTCACGCAGACACTCACGACACTAGGTCTCCACAGCAATAAGATTGGAACTCTTGGAGCACAATATCTAGCTGATGCATTAAGACAGAACACAGTAACTTTCATTCTTTGCTCATATCTCCATGTGCGCTTTTTCAAACAGACTCTCATCACACTAAATCTCTCCTGCAATCAAATCGAAGCTCTCGGAGCAGAACATCTGGCTTGTACATTAAGAAAGAATACGGTGATCCTGATTCTTTAGTCATCTGTCTGGTATCCTCATCAGCATTTTTCTACACAGACACTTAGAACACTATCTCTTCGCAGCAATAAAATCGGAGCTCTTGGAGCACAACATCTGACTCATGCATTAGAAAAGAATACGGTGACCCTTATTCTTTATTTATGTCTCTCATATCTCCATCTTCAATTTCTCACACAGACACTCACCGTCTTACATCTCTGTTATAATCAACTTAGAGATAACGGAGCACAACATCTGGCTGGTGCATTAAGAAAGAACACGGTGACTCTCATTCTTTACTCATATCCCTCGTATCCCCATCTGCAGTTTCTCACGCAGGCACTCATCACAGTAGATCTCTCCACGAATGAAATCGGAGACAACGGAGTGAAACATCTGGCTTATGCATTACGAAAGAACATGGTGATCCTCATTATCTATTCATCTCGTGGATATCCTCATCTGCACTTTTTCACACAGACGCTCACGACAATCGATGTCTCTTTCAATCAAATCGAAGCTCTTGGAGCAGAACATCTGGCTCATGCATTAAGAACGAACACGGTAACCCTGATTACCTATTCATCTGTCTAACATTCTCATCTACACTTTCTCACGTAGACACTCACGACTCTAGATCTCTCCTTCAATCAAATTGGAGCTGTTGGGGCACAACATCTGACTTATGCATTACGAAAGAACATGGTAACCCTCATTCTCTATTCATTTCTCGTATCACCATCTACAACTTCTCATGCAGACACTCACCACACTACATCTGTACGACAATCAAATAGGAACTTTGGGAGCACAAGATCTTGCAGAAATATTAAGAAAGAACACGGTGACACTCGTTCTCTATTCATCTCTCTCATATCGCCAGCTGAATTTTTGACACAGACACTTACCACATTAAACATGGGCAATAATCAAATCGGAGCGTTCGGTGCACAACATCTGGTTGATGCATTACGAAAGAACACGGTGATCCTCATTCTGTACTCATCTCTCTCTTATTATGATCTGTACTTTTTCACACAGACACTCACTGCACTAGACCTTTTCCCCAATGAAATCGAAAAGCAGCTGGATGCTCTTTTCAAGAAATTGATTGAACGGAATCAACAACTGGCCAAGTTCTAAATATTGGTTTTGGGGATAGCTCAATGAAAAACTGATGTTTCTGATCGAATATGGGACTATTTGTTTTCTTGTCACTTTTATTTGCAAAATACTATAAAACCTTTTGGTTTTCAATTGTGACATACTTGATATTCAAGATATTCGGATAGTATTCTGACAGATGAAGCATGAAGACATGACAGTACGTGTTTTGAGTTGTGTTGCCGATTAGATTTTAGTGACAATAGATAGTGTACGTTCTTTTTCTCCGTATTTATTTCATACGGATACGGATGCTTCCAAACAGGTCCGCTGCTTTCATATCGACTTTCTGCCGATATAAGATTTAAATGTGCTAGTTTTGTAGCCCTTGTCGAATTATGTAGGGATTGATATTTGGTTTTGATTCAAATCGTGCGCTACTCCCAGCAGAGAGAACTCAAAAGTCGATTTTTATCGAAGATCGACCTCCAAAATCGGTTAGTTTTATTTTTCATGAAGACTCTTTGGAAATTTTAACTTTACCGTTGGATAGAGGATGAAAAGTTGTCTTTGTAAGATAATTTTCAAAGTCATATGTCTGGGTTTCTTTGTTTTGGAGCGTTCGCAAATTTTGAAGAAAAGGGACTTTATGCTAAAACTGAAGTACTTACAAAATTTATCCGTCAAGTTAAAGATCGAAAAATATTATAATCAAAATGATTTTTATACTATGCTCATTCGAGCACAAGCTGTCAGGTTGTTCAAAAGTGTTCTTCGCTCAAGATATACGGATAGCAAGGGTTGGGGGGAGGATTTACAAAAAGCCCATCTAAGGCATCAATTTGCTCAAAAATTACATGCCAGAGTTTTTTTGAAAATTTTTTATGAACATTCTTCATTGTGCAAGACTAGAGATTAAAAACCTACTATAGACTATTTTTCATACTGTGGGTGTGGGTGTGAATGTGAGGTGTCGATATGTGGTTTTTGGTGAAGAGAGGACCCAGAATTCCTCATATCTACACCTGCAACGACATTCACATCAAGCACACCCACACTCTCACCCGCCTCACAAAAATCTGCACATCGCATTTCTACAATTGTCACATGGGCTATGTAAACATAATTGTTTCTCTTCCTTCCATCCACCTCACATGTATGCAAAGAAATAGGCGACTTTTTTTTCTCGACCTGCATACATCACAACTTGTTTTTTTCCGTCCGAGTCAGATCATATTCAACGTTTGAATGCATCTTCTCTCTTTAATGAAATAAATTGTGCGTACCTTCTATCAGCCAAAAATACTACAAGATTAGTCACTCGGAATGGAGGATGTTACAATTTTCGAAATGTTACCAGATGAAATGATATTATACGTATGTAAATATCTTCGCTGTGCCGAAATTCTTTATTCATTCTTCAATCTGAACTCTCGTCTTAATTTGACAATAACTGACTACTGTCATTATGTGAGTCTCAGGGATGTTACTTACAGACAGTTTAACTTTGTTGTAACGCAAATCATTCCTCAAATTGGCCTTTCAATACGATCGTTTGTGTTCAATGGACAATGGGAAAATATTATGTCCAATGAATTAAATTCGAGATTTTTTCACTTGAAATTATCTTTAATGTTTCCACAATTGCATGCCTTGTCACTTGTGAATTTCATCGATAGACAACTAAATTTATTTCTTGTCAGAATCACCGATCTTTCTCAACTTGTCAAGCTTGATATTAGAAATCTTCAAGGTGACTGCGTAGAACAATCGCTGGGAAAAGTTCTTACTGCTAACAATAATCGACTAAAGTCCGTATTATTTGATTATGATTCAATCGGTTTTATTCTGAACGCAACTAAAAATGACGAAGCTATTTCTTATCCGAACATCGAAGAGTTAATAGTAAATTTAAACACTGATAAAATGTTAGGGTATTTATTTACACTTGTGCCACATATTAAACGTTTACATATTGACTTTGATCAGTTATCGTCTGATTCAAAGTCGATATTAGCAAATACGTTATCTCTTGTTCATCTAAAAGACTTTCAGTTGCGTTCAATAAGGATACACTGGTCCTTAGACGAAATTGCTTATATCCTAAATAAGATGCCATGTCTCCAGCGATTAGCAGTGGATATATGTACAGAAGATGTGGGTCTTGTTACTGGTCAGAATTTTATTCGAATTTTATCATCATCAGTTATCGAGATACATTTATTTATTATTTATTACTTCACTAAATCACATATCGAAGTAAATACTTTGCTTTCTACGTGGCCAACTCATATTCAAATAACATGTTTACTAAATGAACTGAATGAATATGCAGTAATTCATACAATTCCTTGCGACTTATCTTTAGTGATGATTCCAGCTAAAATAGCTAATTGCATGTTGGCTGGTTCGAAATACACACAAAAGGTTAAAGATTTAAAAGTTTTTGGCGGACAGTGTTTAACCGATATACATTTGATAGTGCAACATTTTCATCGGCTTCAAACGCTCATCGTTGGCTCAGACAACAACTCTGAAACACGTATGTTATTTTCCACTATGCATTTTTCTACCCAACATTTAGGTTTTAAAAGTGTCATCTACTATAAGAAATGTATACAGAGATAGAGTAGAATGAATTTACTGACTGACTCAGAATACAAAAAAAAACAATGTCAATTTGTTTTCGATTGAAACAAGAACAGATAAGTTAGTAAGATGAATATTATCGTCGGCTAGAGACATTGAAGCATATGAATTCATAAATAGATGTACAAATAACGAGTGTCATCGCCGTTCTTACTGTTGAAATATTTTCAATTACCAAAAAACTGATTCTCTGACTCTGATCGTGTTTCAATATAGTCTAATAGTTCCTCAATATTAGGACAAATGTGGACTCGAAGGCTTTAAATTATCAGAGTATCTTCGTTGGGAAATAGATTTTTGTTTACACATGAGAAAAAGTTACATTTCTTTATTAACATCTACTGATAGTTCTATTTTAAGAAAATACTTTGAAATATGACGAATCCGTGATAAGATCCTGTTTCACAAAAGCTAAGTGAAACAAATGGATTTTTTTATTGCATTACTATTTTTGGTACATCCCGTATAGAAAGTAGTCTTTAGTATTTAGTGTGATATACAGATGTACTCATTTTTAGTGAAACACAAAAAAAAGAGAGAAAAGCATCTTTTTTTATTTTTTTATGTACTCGACATTTTATTCTAATATTGATTTTCTCAAACGAGTGTTTTTTTTCACTTTCCGTTTTGAGAAAAATCTCCATTCTATTTTGAGTCATGAAAAATGAAATTTTCACATTCCAGTGTCAGTTGTTCAATTAATTACTATTAATTTTTTCATCTATAGTTACTTTTCAATCAACTCAATCGATTGTCTTGCATTTACCTCAACTGAAGCGTCTCCATGTGAAGGGAATATGTGAAATATTTCATCTAGTTCAAGCTGCTCCTAATCTCGAGTGTTTAAGAATTAATTTCAATTGTTTGAATGTTGTACTCGAAGATAAATCTACATGTGAATTATTACAAAAGCGAATTGTAGATCTTGAAATTAACCGTTTTCAAGAAATTGATTCGATTCAATTGGATGTTATTGCACGAAAGTTTAATCATCTTCGTGATTTTAGTTTATCTTTGGAAAGTCCTACAGTTTTCGTCGATTCTCTTATTCTAAAAGTACTTTCATTGTGGAAAGATAAAAGTCTTCGTGGTCTTTACATCAGAGGTTTGCTAACAGATGAAATGAATAAAAATCTTCGTCAATGGTTTATCAATCAGAGTCATTTACGTCAGGAAGATGCATTCGTTGTTGAATACAGGACCAATTGGATTTCTATGTGGCTTCAATAAAACATTTGTGCTGAAATTCGTTGTCATATATCAAATGATGAAATCTGATTCACGATAAAACAAAGACAACAAACATATTTCATATTACATTAACGAAATTTTTTTCTTTTATTTCTTCAGATACGTAGTTTTTTGGGTGTGTATGAATTTCCAAGCGTGGGGTTCAGAGTATCAAGAGAAGACCTACCTCTGTAGACTTACTTCAATATCCTGAACTTTGTAGATATATCAATAAGGAGTCTGATATTCATCTCGTTACACTATACTGACTCAAAATCGTTAATTTAATGGCAACTGTATATCGCGAATTCTTTAAGAGTACCCCTCCCCCACCTTCTCGGCGTTTCTGGAGAACGACTCATCACAAAAATTTGAAATTTTCAGAGTAGATAGATCCTGATATGTAGAGTAAAATTTATCATAGACTTAAAGTTTTCGAATGTTTTCTTCTATGAGATATTTGGATCACAATAGCGAAAAATGGCCTCAGTTTTGGCCCCCGTTTCTCCGAGATGCTACGTTCGATCAAGCTGAAACATTTTCTTGTAGATACTAGACACTGCCTGAGGTGAGTATTTTTTTTTTGGTTTCTCTTTATCTATTGTCGTTCGAATAAACAAGTTAAAATATCGAAGGCACCCTAAAAAACGCATGATTTTTTGCATACTGTTTTTTGTCTTGTAAACGCTACAAAAAGTCAGCAGATTAATATATTTTGGAACAAAAGAATATCGTTGCCCCTCCCTCTCCCCAAACAGTGTCCAGTATATGTGAAAAAAATTTCAACTCGATCGGACGCCTTACTACGCCAAAGAAAGGGGAGCGAAACAGTACTTTTTCTGTTAAAAATTTGATTTTGAGAAAAATGCGAAATAATTTAGAATTTTTGCTAATTTCCTTATTTAATTTCTTTTCCAACTTTTTTATAGCTTAAAGATAATATTCGGGTTCCAAAATGTAATCCGTAGATAGACACCAATTGAGACTATAAAATGGCCACAAAAACCAAGAAACCAAAACTTTTGAGCCAAGAAATGGGGGTATCCTTAAACGAATAGTCTAATAACTATGTTGTAAAACTTAATATTCGAATTACGGATATTATGAAATTCTGTGACTTAAAGCGACTTCTAAGAATTACACGAAGTCCTGTTTATTCACAATTAGTATCAACTACTTGTTGGCTTAAAGTTATTCGACTTTATCATGCTGAACTTTTTTTTTAAATTTCATTATCATCTCGATAATAATAATACACAGAAATGGCGTGATTACAACGTTGAACAGATGGTCAATGATGAATTTCGATTGATTATGTTTAATATTTTTGCCTTGGTTACTGTTTTTTCTCATAATTATTTGTGTAAGTCTCAGATGTAGATATTGTTCTTACATTCACCTATAGTCTTAATTTAATAGGTTTTTTTTCAATGAGCTATCAAATGAGATCTTGAAATAAAATGTGCAGTTTTTTGTCTAGAGAACGCCATTGATTTTAGACAATTAGTGAAAGCCGAAACTCAGATGACATTATTTGAAGGAATACTTGAATATCGTTCACTCGATAAAGAACTACCTATTCAACTATATTGACTCTCACAATGTTGTATTATCTTTGAAAATTTGTCCATGTGTCATTCGAAAAAATCACATTTACTATTGTTTCTTCATAATGTTTCATTGATACTTGAGCCTGGTGAAAAAATTCGTATTGTTGGAAGAACAGATGCTGATATAAGTTCATTCATTTAGACTTTTTTTTTTCGAACGCCATCTTTTTCTCATGACCATAGCCTGAGACGTGTATTATAAAACTAAAATTTTTTGACAAATTACAAAACATCAGTAATAAAATCTAAAAATGATATCGTACTTTTTCTAAGAATGAGTACTAAGTTAGTGTCACTATTTATCATTTATAGTTTCATATAAAAAGAAGACAAATGTTGCTGCAAAGTATCAAAATTGAATTGACTTTTTGAATTTCAACTTCAAGAAATTCTAACTATTAACATGATCAAACCGCGATCGTTCGGGCGGTGTATGTCTATGGGCGAGACGCTGAATATTTCAAACAAGACTAGCTGTTTTCTTCATTGCAAAATATTTCATTCATTCAAATGAAGAATTATCTTGAATATAAGTTTTACTTTCATAACTAAATTGTCTTCTTAACGATAATAACGAAAGACTTAGTTGATTTTCTATTTAGTGAGATTTTTGAACTAATAATATTAATATATAGTCTCAGCAGATTTCGAATTATTAATCTATTTATTTGTAAGATGACATTAAAATATTTAAGGAAAGTTCAGTGTCAATTTTAATCTTTTAACTCAAACTCGTTATACACTTCAATATTTCAATGATTGATAAAGCATTATAGAATCCATACAAAGGAATTTTTGTAACCTTTGCCTTTTTTTTGAAAACTGATTGATCTTTTTGAAGTTTATGTTGTATAATTTTTTTATTAGTTAAATTTTCTGTCAATGTTAACAGATGTCTCTCAGTATTTGTCATTTGTTCTCTTTTTTTACCAATAAAATTTTTATTCGTTCGTTCTTTCCAACTACCATTACATGCATTATTTGCACAGGTTTTTCTTTTTTTTCATGAAAAAAAAAACAACAGAACGCAAACAAGCTTTCTGTTTCTTCCTCGAAAAGAGCAAAAAAAAACACTGTTTCATTATGTTTTTTTTCTCTCGAGTAGCAATTATTCTTTTTTTTAACCAAAGAATTGCTAAAATTCTATTGAAGTTGACCATTCTTTGATAAAACTTCCGAGTAGTAAAATTGAATTTCTTCTTTGCTTTTATATTTACCATAGATGATTATATGACCTAATATAAAACAGACTACATGGAATCAATGTCGTTTTAACCATTTCTCAACTTTTATAATGAATTTATTCGTTGCATTGATATAAAAAGAAAATAGTTAACCATTAGCGAAAAACGAAACTATTTCAAATGTCAATAAAACCCTATACGTTTTCATCTTTAGTCATATACAACATTGTCAACATACTGTTTGTGATATGTTCATCGATTATATACCCCAAAAATGATCGATTAAATTAATTGTTTTTAAAGTTATACAGCTAATTGACAATTTTATATGTATATGATACAGATTACTGATATTTCTTAATAGATGGCGTTTTAATTACTGTAGGGTTTTGTTTTTTCTTTCTTGTTGTGATCATTTCTGCAACAGATAGGATCTTCGTCAAATTTTATTGATGTAAAAAGCACTGTACTAGAACGTACACCTGGTAGTTTTTTCTTTTTTTTTCGTTTTTGTTGTTACCATGAGTTGATAATGGGTCGACAAGACAGTAGTAATCGATAGAAGTGACTCTATCTTGCCACCTTCTTCCTACCTGCAATCAAATCATAAAAGCAGCAGAAACAAAAAAAAAGGTAAAAATTAACGAGTGTGATTCTAAGTATATCACTTTTTGAACAATAAAACCTGAAGAATACAACGTCAAGATATAAAAAATAAAATTGTACAATAACTAGGAAGAAATCTATTAAGAACCTAATAATCAATAATGACCTACCTAAACAAAACATTATAACTTAATATTTAAAGATGACAGTGTTTTAGAATAGTCTTTTCATGAGATAGATTTAGTAATTAAGCTTAGCGATTCATCTTCAGTAGTAGAAATGTAATGATATTCTCAAAAGAACATTTTACCAAAAAAATTAAGAGCAGAGTTAAATAATATTGTAAATAAGCCATTCTCCAAAAATTATATCTAAGTACTCTATATTATGGGATTTTTAGATGCTCAAAAAAGTTAATCTATTCGCTTTCATTGATATTTACAAGCCGTGACTAGAACCCGTTGGGTCCAAGGTTTTTGGACTCTGCCGAAGCGCACTTTGATACTCTCAACGAAATTCTCCAATCGGAATCGGATAGGCATCCTGAAAATACGATATGTTGTTTTTCAGTTTTTCTAACTGACTCGAGCTATGATCGTCTTTTTCAAAAAAGTTAGATATTATAAAAGTACTTTTTTAAATTTTTCGAAAGTACCATTTCGTATGAATATGATGACATTAAAAGTCTTATTTGCCCGAATTATAATTTCTAGTGAAATCATTCTGAATTGAATGATGTATAAAAGCGTAGGAGAAATTTTAGAACACATGTACATGTTCGTATAACTTAGTGTATAATACTTGATAACATAAATTTTCGATAAATTATACGTAGATATTTAAATTTGCTTCTTAGAAATAACCTGAGATTAGAATATTAGTTGAGTATATGGGCAAAATCATTTGTTAGCGACGTGACTCAAAAAAGGACATCAACTTCCACTGCAACCTTTTCAGTTTGAAAAATCTGCAAATTTACACAATATTTTCGAAAACTAAATAGTACATGTTGTAGATGGCACTTGAAGCTCCAAAATATCTATGCAACGTTTTTCCTGACTATGTTTAGATTTTACAATAAATTGAGTCCATTTGACGTGAGCGACGTGACATACTACGACTACACAGCCAAGAAGATGCCCTTGTAACCAACTGAAACGTTCGAAATCGACTTCAAACGTCACAAATCATTACTCAGAGTCCGTAGATGATGATGAGACAAAAGTTTTCGTTTCTGCACTTTTTATGGTCTCTAGAAAACCGGTTTTTCGGAAGACAGTTTTTGGAGTCCACTCTTGCTGAAAATTTTGCCATAGATGCAGCTTGTGCCCTATAGTCTGTCCTAAAATTTTCAAGTTTTTTTTGTCATGTGGTTAGCGAGATAATCGCTAATTACTTTTTAATTAATTAATTAATTTTAATTAATAACCATGTGAAAGACCAAACATTTTCACGTAAGTCTGTGCTAAAAGAATTTATCTAAAAG